AAAAAAAAAAAAAAACCACAGTCTTACTGGTCCAATAGAGACTGATGGAACCCTCAAGACTATGGCTCTTAGGTAGCCTTCAAGCCAGGAACTGAACTCAACCTCCTTGGCTCAACTTTCAGCCAAACAATAGAAAGGCCTATAAGGTGAACAGTAATACCAAGAAGATATGCATCAAAAGGGCAGTATTTGCTTAGATATAAAGCTCAGAAGGCAAGAAGGGATAGGAAGGAATGATGAAGGGAAAGGTCAACTACAAGGAGGGAGTGTTATATTGTAGATATTGCAATGAATGTCACACACACTAAAAAAGTGTATGAATTGTTGAATGGAAATCCAGTTTGCTCTGTAAACTTTCACACAAATAACAATTTAAATAAAAAAAAGAGAGGGAAAAAAATGGGCCAAGGATCTAAATAGACTTTCTCTATCTGTGTGTCTCTTATTCCTAGAGGGATCCCAGCACAGGGACCCTGGGTCCAAAGGATGAGAATCACCAGGAGGCTGTTAAAACAAATTGCTGGACCCTACCCCAGAGCTTCTGAGTTAGTTAGACTGGGAGGGGAAGTTAAGAATACACATTTCTAATAAGTTCCCAGGTGATGCTGAGCAGGGAACCACATTTTGAGAACCTCTGCTCTAACAAAATACACACTCACACACACACATACACACACATGCACATGCACGCACTTAAAGATATCTTGGCAAAAATTCACTGCCACACTTTTGGCACAGTGGTTAAGTCCTCAGTGCTAACCAAAAGTTCAGTGGTTCAAACTCACCAGCCTCTCCAAGGGAGAAAGATGCAGCAGTCTGCTCCCAAAAGGTTTACAACCTTGGAAACCCTATGGGGTAGTTCTGCTCTGCCCTATATGAGTTGAGATTGACTGGATGGCAATGGTGACATAAGAATTAACCTAAATGAATGAGTAACATGCATTAACATAGCAAGAGCTCAGTAACATCATGTTGAGTGGGGAAAATTAATGGCAAGCTCTATACCATTTACATTTTCTAATGTAAATTGCTAAGTTGATAAGATGCACAGCAAAAAAAAAAAAAAAAGGCAAAAGCATTGTACATGGACACATTCATGTGTTTTGTTTTGTTTCATGTTTTAACTGGAGACCTACGCACCACCAAGTTTAAAACAGTGTTTACCTTTAGGGGCACAGAGAGAAGGATAGATAAAGGTGGAGTTATTTTTTTAATCTCAATTCTTAATATTTTATTTATTTAAAAAAGAGAAGTGGCATAAACATGCCACAAGGGTAACATCATTTAAATCTTGGTGATGCATTCATGTTGTTGTTGTTATGTGCCATCGAGTCAGCCCTGACTCATAACG